TTAAGTTAGTTTTAGCGTTTACTACACAAAGATTTTATTTAAAAAAATCTGTAGTATATTTCGGTACTAAAAATTGTGAATAATTCCAATTGCACACAAATTTAAGTAACAAGTAAAAAAGCCTTTAAGCAGTCTTTTGTTTTGCAATAGATTTAAATATATAAGAAATTTATTGGCAGCAAAATTCTAAATTCAATTTGGGTATTAAAATTATCAAGATTGAGCATAAATTTGAGTTTCGAAAAAAATCCCATTTTTACGAACACCTGTACATTCATTGTGAAAAGTAATTGATTAATTCAAAACAATAATTTACTATTTTAAAACATATTTTATTGTTTCTATTTAATTTTTATTGAAAAAAATTTGCAGTAAAAAAAATATATATTTTCCCAATGATTTAAATTTTTTAAAAATAAATTTTTAGAAAGAAGTCCAACAATATTTAAAAAATGCTTTTACTGTAACATTTATTGAAGTCAAATTTTTTATGCGGGAAAATAAAAATTTGACGGTACATCTTTTAACGCCAAAGTTTTCCTTCATTAAATGGAATACCTTGAGTGTTTGAATTAAAAAAAAAAAACTCAGCAATCTCGTAAGTTTGTACTTTTTATAAAATTTTTCAATAAAAATTTTGGAAAAATTAATGTCACATTTTTTTTTTAAGTTTTTTAATATTAAAAAATTTTATTGTTTAAATGGCCTGATTTTTGCTGCTATTTCGGAGATAACCTGATCTCCTCATCAGTCTTCTTCATTGAGTTTACTTGCATTAATTTTTTAAATGTTTTTTTTAGAAATGGGCCATCAACATTTTCTTAAATCTTTTGCATAGTAAAATTTGTGTGCGAAAAAAACTAAGTTTTATACTGTACATTTTTTAAACGTATGTACAATTTTTTTAAATCTTTTTTCCCCAAAAATTTTTTTTTGTTTGAAAATTTTCCAATTTTGCTTTATTAAAATTATTTTTAAGTCTCTCTTTTTCGCATTTGGTAGAATTGCTTTTGATGGTATGTATTAATAGTATGTATTACAAAAAATAATAGTCTTTGTATAAAAAGAAGGATTAATGAAGCTCTAAATTTTATCTCACATTTAGATTAAAAATTTTGTATTAAAATTACTAAAATCTTAGTAAACCTAATTTTAAAGCATTATAGCAATTCATTGATTTTTATTTCTAAAACTAGACCTCAAGCCCTTATGCGTCTAAACTGCACACTAGACTGGGTCGGTCCCCATACAAAAAAAAAAAGTTGCTAATGTCCGCCCCTAAATTTAAAGATTATGTTGAGAGGGTTCTGGAAAAAAATTTTTTTTTTTTTTTTAACCCTCCGAAATACAGCCGAAATGGTTTTTTCGTTGTAACTTGGTTATTTGACGGCCGATTTTTGATATGTCATTATTTTTGTCTTGAGAAGCTTCACTTTTCGTTCTTATGTCTTTTTAAGCTTTGAAGTCGCGTTCGCATGATAAGAGCAGAAACAAAATTTTACCCCCCCTAAAGCATATTTTTTTCCTTACCAAACGAAAGTACTTAAAAATTCAAGAAAATGTTGCCTTCAAACTATATTACTAAAATAATCAACAAACAAGTTATTTCACTTACAATATTTATTGCTACTTAAGCAAATTTTGGCGTGAATCAAGGCTTTTATATTGGTCTCGGCTTTCTAATTTTGCAAAAATGTGGCCCAGGCGCTTTTCATCAGTGACAGCACTTGCAGACTCACTAACAACACGCACAAACCGTTCGGTATTCTGGGAATGACAGAGGAACTCTAAAAAAAAATGATTTAAAAGTACTATAAGACCCGTGAAGTTTTTAGTTTGAAGATATTTACCTGGGATATTTATCACTTCATTTTCCGAAAATTGAAACATTGTAAGTTCACTATCTGGGTAGAACTGCACACAAGGGGGTTCCGTAATCTTAAACTGACTCCAATCGATCATGCTGACATACGACTTACTTTCAAAGTTTATTACGCCACGCTTTGGGACCTTGAACACGCGAAGCCCTGCTGGTGGATATTGACGTGCTGTTTTGATTTTTTCGTACCCATCATTACGTATCTCTGGATCAGCGTCGGTTATCATGGCTAATAATATATTTTCTGGGTGAAAATAATATGCATTATTTTCTATAGCTGAACGTATAATGGCTTGAACAGCATTTGATAGTTCGCGTATCCAGCAAATATACTTAAAAACGTGTCTACTTCCATGAATTGCTTGTGGCTGGCTCTTTACAAGAAACCAGAATGGTGCATAAACTTTCACAACAAACTCTACCATGTTTCGCAACTCCGCTGACGGGCTTTCTTTGGAAACATATACCCGAAGTAACCTGGAAGCTGTTGTAAGCCACCGAGCTGTACTGACGGGACCGGGGCTCTTACTAGCGAGATATTCATCGCATTCACCATTATTTACTGCCAAAACCATATCAAATAAATAACGCTGATCATTGCGTAATTCCCAAGAGCCAATATTTTCAGGAATAACTCCCATAGCAATAGCCTCAAAACCACTTACAACCTGATAAGGAAAATATATGTTTTTGTTTATAACATTAACTATTATAGTGTGGACAACCTACCGGGTATTTGGTGCAAGTCATAATTTCAGACCCCAACACCCCTGGCCAAACACCAGGTCCTTTCTGCTTGCCAATATAATTAAGGTGACCAGAATTTTGTAGCATTCCAGGAGGACAAATTCTCCATATTGAAAACACAAAAAATTTCTTTTATATTTATTTAACACATAAATAACGAATAAGTTAACATTGTTAAAAGAAACAAAAACAATTAAAATTTGCTCTAAATACAAGTCAAACAAGTTAATAGTACACCGCGTTACATAATTATAAATAGAATATAGAAAATGAGTGACAACATAAAAAAATGCCAAAAATCAACGATATTTTGTAGACATATGAAACTCGCACTTTATTTTACTAAAATTGCATGGGCTATAAAACTGCATACGCAAAACTTTTCTCAAAATTCTTAAACGAAAGTTTAAAATTTTGGCGAAAATTTTATATATTTTTTCGATTGTCCTGATCTTTTAATGAAGGACACTCCTCTAATTTTTAGCAGATTTTTTCTATGAAAAAAGGTTAAGCTTTCTGTCATTAGTAGTCGAAAACTGAAACCAAAACGTTTTTTCTAACTTGTTGAATATCTTCTTTCTGTTTTGTTTATTTGGTTAAAATCTTTTCTTTTCAGGCGAATGCCGAAAAAGTGCAAGTTCCTGATCAGGTACACGACTGAGGGGTCATATATAATTACTATCCAGTAGATAATATCAGGAGCTAAAATTTTATCCAAAAGGCTTTTCTGAAAGTTATTCCTTTCTTCTTCATTTTTGTTATGGAGCGGCACAAATTGAAGGGCTTCTGCTTTCGCTACTCAAAAAAAGAGCTTTCAGAAGGGCTTTTGTAGGACGCCGTTTGAAGAAGTTCTTTTAAAGTTTTTCTTAATTTATAAAAATCATACTTCTTTAAGGAATTTATTTAATGCTCATATCAAATTGTTTTATTTAGACTTGCAATTCCTATTGAATCTTTTTTGTAATGCTAAGTAATATAAACATATACTTAAGTAAGTATAAGCACTTTTTTCAGTCCTTGTTGGGCAAGTCTTTTATAATGGCTTCACTTAAGACAGCCTACCTAAATTGTCTTCAGGTTATGAATATAAAAATTGGCAAAAACGGTCATGAAGTGCGTTGTAGGATATGCGGAAATTCGCTAATGGTGGTTGGGAAAACATTCAAGACCACGTTAAAGGCGCCGCTTTTTCAAAGTTACGTCACCGTCAAGATAAATTTGTTCGTTTATAATTAAATATTCAGAACTTGAGCGTTTCATCATTATCAACCTTTCAGTTCTACGAATTGTTTCACAAAACTACATTGCTTATAATATCAGAACCAAAGCAACTTTACTTATAGGTAATACTAGCAATTACCCGGCGTGCTTCGCTGCGCCTTAAATGTATTTTTGTGTTGTAACTCTCCCCCTAAGCTCTTATGGCCTCATTTACAAAATATTTTTAAAGAACTTTATGAAGTTAGATTTAAAAAAATCGATCTATGAAGCATTGTTTATTTTTTTTTTTGAGTTAATATATTTTCGAAGGTAATTAGAAAATATGTAAAGAACCGACTTTCTCTTGGAAATTTAATTTATAATCTTATAACTGGAGTCTACTATCGCACCCTTTCCTCAAACGTGTATTGATTCAATATTCAAATAACGTATATTTATATAATTTGAAAAAATCTCCCTACTATACAAATATGTACAGCAATATTAAATAATATTTTCAAATGTTGTGAGAGGGAGTAACAAAACAAAATTACTTTTAAGGCGCAGCGAAGCACGCCGGGTATTCGCTAGTGTCACATGAAATTAACTGAGCAAAGTACAATGAATAGCTGTTAAACAATGGCACCATCTACTTTAAATGAAACATACTTATTTTCGTGGGGGATACTCACACACCATATACTTTTCTATTGAAATTTTTCCTGAATTTTCCTAGCTATAAACCTCCAACGAATGCAAAACCGTGAAAATCGGTTCGTGCGTTCTGGAGTTATAGCGTCAGGAAGGAAAACCCTACTTATTTTTATATTAATTTTTATATTAAAGAAGATTAAAGAACTGTCCGCATTACTCAATTTTATTTTTCACTAAAACGGTATTCATGAATTTTTTTAATTTTTTTTTTATTTGCTTCCGCATACTTTTGACATAACAGCTTTCATTTTATGCCGATATTAAACAAATACAGCCTAAGTTTACCCGGGTCCACGTTTTGGTCTGTATCTCGTGACCCAAGTCACCCAGCTATATGAAAAGTGCTCAATCTTAAAGCATTCATGAAC